AATCAAAAATATTAATTACACATTTCATGTTCTTTTATACTGTCTTTGAAATCTGGTGTGTATTCTACATTTATGGTACATTTCATTTTGTGACTGGCCACATTTCAAGTGTGCCAGAGCCACATGTGGACAGTGGCTACCATATTGGACAGCACATACTTACAGAATCTTTTTGATAACTTAGCACATGACTATCAGGTCTAGATAGATGAGAAGGCATCTCAGGCAGAATTGGACCATAAATGGTCCATAAAATTGGACCCACAACTGGAGTAATGTCAGCCCCTAAACATCCTTATGACACTTTGATATTTTGTTTTCAGAGCCATAGAGAAAAATGATGGTAACCGCTGTGGACTAAATGTTTGTGTCCCCTTCTGCCCCCAAATTTGTATGTTGAAGCCTAATCCCCCATGTGACAGTATTGGAGATAAGGCCTTTGGAAGGTCATTAGATCATCAGGTCAGAGCGCTCACGAGGAGATTAGTGCCCTTAGAAGAGACAGAAGAGAGCTTGCTTCTCTCTCTGCTCTCTGGGCCACGTGAAGACCCACACTATAAGGTACTGTCTATAAGTCAGAAGTCAGCCCACACTAGGCCCTTGGATCTTGGACTAACTAGTCTCCAAAAGTGTGAGAAATGATGTCTGCTCTGTAAGCCATCCAGTCTATGGTATTCTGTTCCACCAGATAACATGCTAATGAGATGATTTCCTCCTCACAAACAAGCACCAGTCCTGTTCAGTAAGAGGAAGTGGGAGGCCAGCAAAGAAGGTTTCCCTGCCTCAGTACATAAAGAATACAGGGGGAGTCCATCCAAGACCGGGGGAACTGAGGCTAATCACATCAGAGGTTTTCATTCTTCTAAGTAACCACTAATGTATAGTTAGAAGTTACCACTGGAGTATCCTGATCTATATTTCACTGTTTGTCAGAACTGGATAGACATTTTGAATTTGGATCCAAGAGGCAGTATAGCTCGTTCTAAATATACAACCACAGGTTGAGGAGAATAAAGTCAAGGATTGTTCCTTGGGCATAAAAAAAAGCATATGTCATTAAAAGATAAATGTTTCCATTGAATAAACAAAAAGAATATATCCAGGGAAACATTTCAAATTAAAAGATCTACGAAGAACAATGAAGTCTGTGACTGAAAGCTTCCGAGAAGACTTCTTGCTGCCTGGTAGGTAGATTTTTTATTGAAAGCCTCCTTATCAGCATCTACCTCAAGTATAAACATCTGATTATGGCCACCACCTGTCTCTACAGGAGTATTCTCATTTCTCAATAAACCTGCTTTCGTGCCCTCTGTCCTAGTCAAACATATGCCTGGTGACTTTCTCAACAAGGTGATTTCCTTCTAGTTTATTTCCAGCCCGGTAGTGGTAGAACACCCTGTTCGCCGCAGTGAAACTCTACTCCCCTGAAAAGGAGTCTCCAGATACTTCCCCTCCAGGGAAGTGAAATGAACCATGATCTTGCTTAACCTGCACCTTCAATCCTTATTTTCACTATTCTTTAAAGCAGTCACTCTATTCTTTCAGTGATTTTTTTTTTTTTTTAGTGGCAACTTCATATTTACATTACTCTGCCTAGAAGGCATGTGAGGCTTTTCCGGATACTGACCTCAGCTAATTAGCATAACACATGCCTGGCTAACTAGTTCTTTGGATCAGTGTTTGGTATGGGAGAGGCAGTGGCTGACAGGAAAGATTGGGGGCCAAGGTTTCCACAGCAGCTTCCCCTTCTTACCAAAGCCTAAATTGGGAAAAGCCTTTCTCTTCCAAAGTGAAGAAAAAATAATGTCAAACATAACAATGGCTTGAAGAGTAAAGGGAAAAAGAGGAAAACTCAAAAGGCTATACTTTTTTCCCCCTAAATCCAATTCTTTGCTGCACTGAAGAGGGATGGGTGGGAAATGACCCCTGGAGGAGAGGTATCCCTGACCAACACTTGGGTCACGTTAAAGGAAAAAGGTCCTGGCCAAGCTTTGGCTCTTGGGTTCATAGTGCTTTATCTAGCAGAGCCCTTCAGTGAGTTTGGGATCTGCAATGGAGGCAAACTGCTTCTCATGAATTAACAAAAATTTAGAGAGTGGAAGAGGCCAGCATTTGGGGTGGGGAGTAGCCAAGAGCATGGTGATAAACCAGGCCTAAAAGGTAGTGTCACCATCTTGAAATTTCCCCTGGTGGGGAATAGCTAGTAAGTTGTTATGACAGTATTGCCTAGATTTCTACTTTAATCTATCACCTACCCTGCTCTGCTCTGTAATTCCCTTAGGTTAGTCCAAACCTTCAGAAAAATTCTGCTATATCCAAAGGCATGGTATTCATGTTATTGGAAGATGGGGCCTCTGGTATCCAACGTGGGGCAAATGGGACCAAGAAGAGAGGAGGCCATCAAGAGAAATAAGAGTAATGGTTTGGATAGAGAGATGAGAAAAATGCCATCTCTGGAGAATACGAGGTATATCAGGAATACCAGGGGGAGTGAAAGGGGGCAATTTCTCCAAGTAAGAGGATTGAGGTTCCACTGTTTTATTTCCATACTAAAAAGAGGTCTCTCTAAAGTTGTAAGTGTTGAGGACATCTGGTTCATACCAGTGTTAAAATAATTAAAACATCTGAGTTATCTGCCAGCCCCATGGTTCCCAACTGTATTTCTCAGACTAGTGAAATTTTAGGGACTGCTGAGGTTGTCATCTTTTTATTGTATTATGCAAAGTATTTTAAAAATGAATTTTCAGGGGCACCTGGGTGGCTCAGTGGGTTAAAGGCTCTGCCTTTGGTTCAGGTCATGATGCTAGGGTCCTGGGATCAAGCCCTGCATTGGGCTCTCTGCTCAGCAGGGAGCCTGCTTCCTCCTCTCTCTCTGCGGGCTTCTCTGCCTACTTGTGATCTCTGTCTGTCAAATAAATAAATAAAATCTTTAAAAAAATGAATTGTCACCCTTGTTTCATAAAATAAGAGCTATTTAAACATGTAGACAGGCAAAACAGAAAGGGCATAATTTCATAACAATTGTTAAAAATGTTGTTTTTATCTGGAATGATCTCACACTTTCAACCTACTAAAAATATGTATATATATATGGTTTTTTTTTTTTCTTAAAGGTTTAGTTATTTATTTTAAAGGAGGAACAGGAAGGGACAGAGGGAGAGAGAGAGAGAATCCCAAGTGGACTCCACACTGAGCCGAAGAACCTGACACAAGGCTTAATCCCAAGGCCCTGAGATCATGACTTGAGCCAAAATCAAGAGCTGGATGCTTAATTGGCTGAGCCACCCAGGCGCCCCCAAAAGTATGTATTTTATTTTATTTACTTTTATTTAGTTTTATAGTTTCCTTCAATCTTTCTTCACTTATTCACTTTTCAAAAACATTAGTAAATGAACATGACTCTGCCCCTGTCCTCAATATCTCAGGCTTTTCTAGGAAAGTCAAGCAGGTGACCCAGCTGCACACAGAGCACCTGTGCTTGTGGCAGAGAAACTCACCAAATACTAAGGGCAGAAAGGCCAAGAAACAGTTAAGAAACAGCCCATCTATTTCCAAGCAGAAGTGTAAGAAATACTAAATAAAGGCTGATGTCAGGACTCACTTTGCACATAACATCTGAGTGCCCTTCCTGATGATTTAGGGGGGAAACTGATAGTGCACCCCAGAGATCATGGAGTTTTTGAGGCTATTCATTCTGAGCAAATTACAGGGCTAGGAACACAACTCATGTGCCATGTCAGCAGGTTCGTACCGCACACCGGACAGGAAGAGATGAGTGACATGGAATTGGGAGGATTAAAAACTGTCCCTCCCACTTGTCCCCAATAGAATGGCTCTGCACATGGGCACACTGCTCACTTCAGGACATCCAACCTGAAGGTCAGAAGGCGGCTGGCCAGGGTGAGGGCTGCGCTGCCATGGCGACCTTTGGTGCCATACTGGAGATGGGGAAATTGCTCAGGGAGATGTCTGGGAGTGATGGTGGGCAAACTGGTCTGTGCTACTCAATACTACTCAAAGCTACCAGGTTTCTGAGTTCTGGTTCTCACTGAGAGTTAGAGAGGGAGGCATATTGTGGTATCCGAGTCATCTGGTTCTGGAATTTCCCAAGGGAGTAGGGAACGCTGGCACAGTAAGAGATACACATATGGGAAGAAGACCCAGAGGCAGGCACAATGGCAAGTCTTTTCTCTGTGCCCCAGAGGGGACCATATCAGACGGAAAAATCTACCTATGCATTTTTTCTACATTATATAATCAGAATATATGTGTCAAAGGGGTATTTGCTGAAGCAGTCATTTCCTCCCCTTGTCTCACCTCGATTCTTGTCAGAAATAGGTCTAGAACTTTCCCACAATTATCCACCCTTATTTAACATCAAAACCTTCATAGATCAGCTGATGGCTGCAGTTGCAACATCTCTGGCCAGGTCTTGTGGCTTTTCTGAAGCCCAGACGTGTGACAGTAGTACAGAATCGCAGGAAGTGACTATTGAACACACACACGCTCTGCAGCTTGCTCCATTCTCACACATTCCTATTTTAGATACTGAGCAGCTCTCCCTCCCCAGGAGCTATGAAATAGAAGGGTCTGGCAGAATCATCCAAATGAAATGAGGTTCCTTCTCCCCCAGGGATTAGGCACAGAGGTGCGGTCCTTTCCCTCCGCCACCCGAGAAATCTTGACTTTCCTAGAGAAAGGCCCAGCAGGGGGCCAGGAGCCACAGAAGGTGCAGGGAACCCGCCCCTCTGCAAAGCCCCGAAATGCCAGGGGACCAGGCCAGGGAAGGTGCGAGATGAACCAGAGTTGTCCCCGAGGCCGGTTGCGGGTGGATGCGGCAGCCTCGGGCAAGGCACTGATTGCATTGAAGGGGAAAGGGAACGAGGGTCCTCTGGTCCCTGAGGACTCCCGAGGTCAATTCCCAGGGGACCCAAAGCAGCGACGGGGCTCTGAGATCTGGCAAGTTCCTGGGAGTCGAGCGAGGAGAGCGAGTGTCTTACCTGGCCAGGCTGGCTGGTGTAGTTGAAGGAGTAGATGTTCTCGGTGCTGAGGCTCACCATCCCGCTGTAGATGCGATCAAAATCGGCGCCCCTGGCGGGGTCGCGGGGGTCGCGGGGTGGGAGGGGTTGCGCGGGTCGCCGGGGTGCCGCCGCCCGCAGGAGCCAGGGTAGCAGCGCGCAAAGCAGCGCGAGCCGCGGGCAGCTCCGCATGGTGGGCGCCGCGCCCCTGTCACCAAGCAGAGCCTCCCTGGCGAGCGAGCGAGCGCAGAGCGGGTCCTTCCAAAGTCCCCCGGCGGGCCTGGGCGCAGGCTTCAGCGCAGCGCGGGTGATGCCTGACAAGCCCCGCCGGCGAGTGATGGCAACCCGCGGGCGAAGACCCGATCAAATATTGATGCAGCCGCCTGGGGTCTCCGCGGGAGGTCGCGGGCCAGGGGTAGCGGGGGCGGAGGGTACCGGGGCCTGGGGCTGCTGCTTTGCTCTCCCGCTTCCAAGTCCCTTTCTTCCCCCTTTTCTCATTTCTGATAATCCCCCACTTACCCAGCCAGAATTTCAACAGATCTAGTCCCTAATCAATCTCAAAAAAATAATAATAAATAATAAATTTTAAAAGGCATTAGAGACATTAAAGAAAGAAATAGTTACTAGTCTTGAGTCAACATGATTAGCCACGAAGCAGGAAATACAGTCTGTTTCAAGTAAATGTGCACCGACTGCAAGCGAAGAAGAAAGAGAAAGCAACAGAGCCTGTCCCCAAAGAGGGTGCACGAGTTTGCTTTTCCTGTCTGCTACCTGCAGAGAACTCCCGCCCGTTTGAATGATGGTTATTAACTCTCACTTCTCCCTTCACTAACAGAACCCTTTCCCAGACACCTGTTTTATTTCTTTATCATCTTCTATTCTCAGGGAGAGCCTCACATTATCGCTTTCTCTCTCCCTCGCTGTTTGTGTACCTATTACATATGTACAGTCATAAAGACAATGAAGAGATAGGGTAAAGAAGACAATTTCCAACACGCCTGAAATCTGGTCCCGGAAGTTGTCAATGTCTCAGAGAAGCTGGATTTCTGCAGAGGGTTACTTTCTGTCTGAGCCACTTCTTGCCTACTTCACTTCTGCAATGACTTCTTAGATTCTGGGAGAATCCCTGGGGTTCTGAATTGTTTTTCAAAAGAGAGAAACTACAGGTTATTATAAGGAACTATTCTTCTGGCAAAACTTAGGGGATTTGATTTAAACAGCTGGAGAGACAGATAAAGGGTGAGGTGGGAAGAGGATCCCTGGGAAGTCCTTGAGGAACATCAAACAATCACAGTTCAGGTGCAGAAGAGAACTCACTGTCTTATTTCAGCTTCAAGTTATTTGTAAACTAGAAAATAAAATTGCATTCAGTCTGAAGGAACATTTAAAGAGAAGCCAGAAAAAGAAAAGATCGTATTCAAAGAATTAAGTTACAGATTAAAATCCTAGCATTTACGGGGCGCCTGGGTGGCTCAGTGGGTTAAAGCCTCTGCCTTCGACTCAGGTCATGATCTCAGGGTCCTGGGATTGAGCCCCACATCGGGCTCTCTGCTCGGTGGGGAGCCTGCTTCCCTCCTCTCTCTGCCTGTCTCTCTGCCTACTTGTGATTTCTCTCTGTCAAATAAATAAATAAATTCTTTAAAAAAAAAAAAGAATCCTAGCATTTACCATTCAAAGGGAGGGTTTGATTTGTTTAGTTATTTTAGAGAGAGAGAGAGGGAGCGCAAGAGGGAGGAAGGGCAGTGGGTGAGGGAGACAGAGAATCTCAAGCTGGCTCCACACCAAGCCCCGAGTTTCACTCAGGGCTAAATCTTATGCCCCTGAGATCATGACCTGAGCCAACACCAAGAGTCTGAGGCATAACGGACTGAACCACCCAGGCACCCCAGGTTGTTGTTGTTGTTGTTGTTTTTAACCTCACTGAATTCCTACAATTTATTAAAATATCACAAATGAGTTCAATACATTTGGTATAATGTTTCATAACTGTGCAATTAGAAAACAATACTAAAAGAAGATTAAGTTAGAGAGTACTTATTAGGACAATTTTCACTTTAAAAAAATGTTCTTGAAAATGTATGGGCATAAGGACAAAAATACTAATTCAAAGAGGAGTCTGGGGGTAAAGTTTAAAGTGCAACTCATTGTTTTGAGAAATATGATAAATTCATCCAGACTTTAAATGACATTAAACTTCTGTATTTAGAGTGTCTATACCTCTTTTCAGAATTTAACAAAATTTAATAAACTTGACGTTCATCAAGTCCTTCAAGTTTAGCTGGACTGGCCAGTTCAAGCACTCTCTACAGCTATAGGGTCATGCAGTCCTACTCAGCACACAAGAGATGAGGAACTGGCTTTAGCACAAGGTAACTCCTTCTTTTGCAGGCAAGTGTCTCATTACTAGAACAGTATTTCACATTCTAAATTGAAATTTTCCTCTCTTTCACTCACTGGCATGGGTTCTGCCTTCTGGAGCCATAGGAATAAATTTAATCCTTCTTCCACATGACAGCCTTGTGGGTATTTGAAGGAGCTATGACCCTAACTTTAAGCATTGAAATTAGAAGTGATTAGAACAGATCCTTTATCTTAGCAAAGAACCCTAAATATTTATTTTAAAGCCATTATAGATGACATATATACAACTTGAATTATATATTACAAATTATACTATGATCTAATCCTCATTCAATCCATTGAATGGCCTTGGGTAATTAACCTCTCAGGGTCACAAGGTTGCTGTAAAGATGGGGGGAGGGGCAGAAGAATGTTTTTGAAATTATATTAGAAAGTTTACACGTTGTATGACTAAATATTGTTATTGTATGACTCCTAGTTCAACAGCTAAAAAGTTAAATATGGTTCAGCAATCAGACTTGTAGAATATCTATAATGCCAAGCTTCCACTGTGACAGGCTGAATATAGGAACAGTCAATGACCAGACTATATATGATAATAGACCTCTGACCCCAAACTCTACAGCAACTGGTCTAAGAAGACAAACCACAATCTTTGCAGCAAATGGCCCAGAATGATCAGGACTTGGTCAGTGACTGCCAAGTTCCCCAATTTTTACCTCTGCTCCCAACTCAAGATCCATCAGAGGAAGCCAAATATGTTTTACAAACCATAAAAATGCCCCACTTCTAGTTAGTCTGCTTGCAGCTTCTCTATGCCACCAAGATACAATCAGAGTATTCTGAAACCTTGCCTTTTCTTCATTATAAAGCATTCCCAGTCCCCTGCCTGTCTTTGAGTCTTGGTCAAGCAGAGGAGATGGTGGCTTGCTATAGCAAGCAAGCTCTGCATAAGGAAATCTATTGCCATTTGAATGGCTCCAGCCTTTACCCAGGTGCGATACTCACCAACGGCCCCTGGGCCTTACAGCTCGCTGTGTTGGGTATACGTTGACATGGTAAGTGAGCACCATGTCTGAGCTCGGCTTTTTTTGCTTCTGAGTTCTTTGGCTATCTCATCTCAGTTTGATATCTGGGTTTTGTTGTTGGTTTCCATTTGTTTGGCATCTTTGGTGGAGTCCAGCCATTCCTTTTCAGCCATCTTTGCTCTCTTTCCTGCTTCTGTTTTGTGTTATATTTTCCAAAAGTATTGGTTGTCATAGAGTAGAACACTGGACCAGCCTTCTTTTGGACAAACTTTGCTTTGGATCACCTATAAAACTAGGCTATCCTTTGTTTCCATTGTTTTGTCCTTAGAGTTTGGCTTTCATTCCCAGAGAACATTCTCTCTGGTTTTCCACCTGCTCCCAGGTATAGGTTGTTGGGTCTACATTTGGTGGCAGCTCCCTTCAAGCTGGAGTCTCAAGACTCAAAGTGCACAAGCATCACTTCCAGCTGCCAGCTCTTATAGTCTCAGCTAAGTCTAATTCTTCTTTTCCTTTTCGAGAAGCTTCACTTCTTATATGTACACTCATTACAATTCTAATTTTTGCACCTATGTTTCAAATGGTGAAATTTCACCAAGGATGACCTGGGCCTTAAATGACCATTGTGGAATATCAGCCTAGACCAAAATTGTTTATTTGACAGGTGCTTTAAAAAACAAAAAGAATAAAGATTTCTCAGCTCCAATGGACCCCATTTTTTGAGTGGCTTGCAGAGGACTTCAAATGAAATTATGTTAAAAATTCCTTTACTAAAATATTCTTTGGTCAGAACTAATGAGAAATTTGGCAAGCTTAACCAATAATCTAGATTCATTTAGATAGTAAATCCTCCCCCTCCTAGTCCTCCAGTTACTTTCCTGTGGCCAGCTCTCTCCCTTCCCCCTTATCCTTCTGAAATCCCTCCTTCTGCACCTCTTCCTTCTTTTTCCCGTTGTTCAGTTGCCCTATCTTTTCCCAGCAACTCTCTAAAGCCTCCAAATGCTAGTTGACTCCAATAGTCTATCCTTCCCATAAACCAGGTATGCAGGTGACTGTAGAATTTAAACTTTGGATCTGAGACGAATTAAGAGCTATAATGAAAGATTTCCCTAAACCCAAGCAAGACTAGTGAAGACTCATAGAAGAATTTGTAATTCTTTGGATGCACATGACCCAGAGTTGCCTGACCTGAATCAACTTGCATGCATGTTGATTAGAACCTCAGATGCTAAATCCTGGATGACAAAAGCCGATTGGACCAACCTGGAAAGCGACCTGAGGATCCCTCTTTCCACGAAAAACCTTCGGGTCAGAAAAAGGCCAGAAAAAGAAGTCTAAGAGCCAAACCCAAAACATTTCTAATAAAAGTTGATTGGGTCATAATTTAATCATGAAAACAAATAAAAAGATGAAACTATAGGAGATTTGGGGATAAACAGAAAATATCTCCCAACAACACTAACTGTTCTACATTAAATCCCGCCATCTTTGCTCAATCTCTTCCTTGGTGTAAGCATAAAACAAAAGTGTAAGTATTTCAAACAACTCACAGATTTGTCCCTATCTCCCAGCACTGAGCTACAACTTTTGGGTCCTTGATTAACATCTCTTCTTCCTCTGTGATACTGCATCTACAAATTTATTAGGGAAAGATCGACTTTGCAAATAGAGCTGTAATACTAAATGCACACCAGAAGGACTATTTCTTGAGGTTTCAGAGGATGTATCCATTCCTAATCAACTTGTGTCTGCTCCGTATAAAACTTTCCTTCTCCACTATACTTGATGTGTACTCCAGATACAGATCTTGACATTGTACTTGACTCTTTATGGGCTAAAATTCCCATTGACATAGGAAAAATAATTGGAACAGCATATATTAAAGTTCATTTAGAGCTTATCAAGTTCTCAAAC